GGCAAATGTAATCTTGCTGCTCCCATCCTGTTGTTTTAATGCATTTTGTGGCTTTTTCATACAAGACCTTTCTGTTACTCCATTGCATATGTTCATCAGAGACATTAATTCTGCTGCTTAATCTTCTACCAACTGTACAAGACATTTGGATGGATGTTATAAAAGCACTCTAAACACTGTTAGGAAGCTGCAAAAGGAAGAGGAATATAATTTCTGCTTCTTTTTCTAAATTTCATGCATATTCACTTTTTTTAGTATACAGTGTTCCTCTTAGCCTTCTGGGCAGAAAGACTGAAAAGACCATCATTACTATACATCATTTATTTCTCAATAACTCCTTGACAAGAAATACAAACTGCAATATGATTGCACTTCATGAAGGCTGAATTTTTAAGACTCTTAATAATCTACCTTTTGGCCTTTTTGTACATTTCAAAACCCTTGCCTAACAAATTCTACATAGATAATACCTAACACCCAAAAAGCATCTAGAAAAAGTTTGAATGTTCAGAATCAATAAAATTAGTATGCAAAACTTAGAACCATATAGTCAATTAATATGAAAGTCTCATATGGATTTAGGAAAAACATATATACAAACACACTGTTTATAGTGGAAAACAATCCCCAAATTTAGGTTTGATTCTTTTTCTGCCAAACATATCACACAATTATTAAAGGCAGAGCCTACACATTTGGATGTAACTTTCTAATTCACAGAGGTAATGTGTACGTTTCCTTACTGAATGGGAAGTGCAGAAGTGTATGCATAGTAGTCTCTTTCTTCCACTGACGCTTATATCCTAGTACTACCGGTAGATGTACTTTTTACATTTTATTAAAAGAGGCACTCTTTGTGGGATGGTTGGCTTATAAGCATTTGTTACTTCTGTGGCAGTTTATTGAAAGCTTTCCATATTAGCCACCAGAATTAACTTTCTAGAGGTTCCTGGTATTGGTAGATCACAGATTCAAACTAATTCAAATAAAAATTACTGTATTTTTCGGTGTATAAGACACACTTCCCCCCACCCATAGTGGGTGGAAATGTCTGTGCGTCTTATAAAGCGAATGTTGCTGAAGCCATGCCTACCCGCTGGCCCCCACCCTTTGGCTTCTGCCAACCAGCAACAGCTGGTTGTCAGTTGAATCAGTCTCCCAACGATCAGCTGTTTCAGGCTGCAGAGATCGCCATCGCCTATTGCCGCCTCCACGTGCCCCTGCATCCCATTTTCAGGCTCCACGTCCCCCATTTTTGGCCTGTTCCAGGTGGCAGGGATCAGGAACAGTTGGAAAATGGGGCACATGGAGGCCAAAAACAGGGTGTGTAGAGGCTGAAAATGGGATGCAAAGGGTGAAAATGAGGCATGCTGAGGCCGAAAACGGGATGCCAAGGCCACAATAGGCGATGGCTATCCTTGTAGCCTGAAACAGCTGATTGTCAGGAGGCCGATGCAACCGACAATCAGCTACTTGTGGCAAATCAGGCTAACTGCTGTTTGCTGCAAGGAGGCAGAGGCAGAGGCCGATTTTTTTTCTTGTTTTCCTCCCCCAAAAGCTATGTGTATCTTATACTTCAGAGTGTCTAGTCTGAAAAAGTCCAAAAAATACAGTGTTAAATACTATTATTTGTATTCCAAAGTTTCAACTATATTCCAGCAACTTGAACCATTCTACCAACTATAGTGATAATTCTACCAATAAAGTAACCAAACTCTGGCACAACCATGGCAGAAACTATTTTTGCATTCAACAAACCATATATTGTAGCACAGGGAACAATAAAACAGCCTCTTTTTCACCCTTTTCCTACCATTTGCTTGTATCTTATCTCAAAGAAGACATGTGAGACATAGGGAATGACCAAGCATTCTACACAATAGAGATACTACCTGCCGTACCAGCAAAATGATAGACACATTTATCATTGATTACTACATCCCTGAAATATAGGAGAATTCAACTGCATCTGTTCCCTAACAGAATAGTATCTGAGGGGTTCTTGGTGTTCTCTGAGCTTGCTTGTTTCTTATAGATGTTTCATTACCCAAACCAGATAATACTGATGAGGTTACCTAGTTCAGGTAATGAAACATCTGGAAGCTCAGGGATCACCAAGGATTTCTCATTTCAACTCTTAGCTAAAAATTATCTTTATTGGGAGAATGGTATTTGCCAGAGAGGAACTTTCTGGAGCAGATGTGGAAGTGATACAGAAGGAAATAAACAAGGAAAAGCCCCACCATACAAGAATATGTCTCTTATGTAATGGTGAATATAACTGTACCACACAGATTTTTATGACTATTAGTATTTATTTTTATCTTCTGAAATAACTGTATTCCAGATATGTCTAAGAGAATAAGCATATATGTATTTTTATCAAGATCATTGATACTATCAAAGTATTTTCCTTACTACAAATTAACACAGTATGACTGCCTTTCTCCTTAACTAAAAAGAAAACAATTCTAAACACTTTTATGTACAGTACTTCATAATTCTCCACCTACTGAGTTTGTAGACTTTAGAAACTGGGCATCACTTATATAAGCTCTGTCTTTCTGTCTGTCTGTCTATCTACACATACATTGGGAAAAGGGGGAAGGGGGAAAGGGGGAGAGAACTGTAGAATGGAGGGGGGAAGAAAGAAAAGTGTTAGCTTCCAACTCTTTTCAGTGCAGTAGAATAAAATAACAATAGTTCATCCTTAACCTTTTACTGTTCCATATTTAATATATACTAGCCATTTCTATGATAATAAACTCCTATCAGTTTCTGAATCACAAACCTGAGAGTGATTCACATTCCTCCAAATAAATTTTCATTATTAAATACATTTAGTGGGTAAAGAGAGCAGATAAATACCAAAGCTCACAATGCAATATAATACATCAAGCAACCTTTGGTGTATAGAAAAGTAGCTTCAAAAGAAGCTTTATTCCCATTTCTTCAGTAATGGCGGAATCTTCTTGAAAAATACTATTCCAGTTCTTGTCTCTCTTACAAAAGAAAAAAAAAATGGACCCAGATGTGGAAACTTCACTACTGAATTCCAAAAGGAACATTCACAAACAATCAATTTGGGAATTGGTGATGTTAGTTGAAGGAAATATATAAACACAATAATATCTGAAATAAGCTCATGTATTCAATAATAAATGTGCTTTATAATAAAGAAATACATATATACAACTGTTGGATATGGTATATACAGAAATGTCAAAAAATTAACTTACAATTATACAGTCTACAATGTCATTTGAAAGTAGTAGAGACTAAATCAGATGGACTGCATGTAGAACACATGTGAATCTATTACACCTTTAATTAAGAGTTAACCGTGAAATTTATATAAGTAGAATAAATATTATAAAGGAAATAGCACAAATGGACATTATCTCTAAAGGTCATTTCATGTATTACAATGACTTAAAATAAAATAATTTTAGGAAGGTAACCAAAAGAGAGACTTCATTCTATGGGAAAATAACTGCCAGCTGCCAGTTGCAACACTGCTGTAATCAGCAGATGATTTTGACACATGTTTAGACCCAAAGATCTTATTATAACTCTTTTAGGTTTATGGTTAACATAGGGTATCATTACTTTCCACTGAGATTTTGTAAGTCTCCTACATTAAAATTCATTATAGCCTAGTTATATTCTATCTAACACTATCTTGAAAGACCAGCAACAGTCTGATGCTGTCTGTTGAACAATATTTTATCCCTGGGTGGCTGGGATCAGGTGTGAACCTCAATGATTTATCTAATAAAGTCAGAAGTGATGTAGGACTTTTTTTTGTCACCCTCTAGTTCCCCTACTATTCCACACAAAGGCCCTTCATGGAGCTAACAAGAGCACTAGGGATGTTATTTCTTCTTACTAAAGAACAGGTTTATAATTAAGAATGTGACAGTTACCAAGCATTCCAAGGATTATGAAGTAAGAGGAAGGAAAAGAAACTAACGTTAATTGTAGTAGCTAAAACACCAATCTTTGAAGCATAAAGCTATGGGGTTAGTTTATATGATGGCAAGTGCATATTGAGGATCCTATTAAAACAATCTGTCCAAAAATATGACTAAGGATCAGAGATGGTATTCAGCAAGTTCTGACCAGTTCTGGAGAACCGGTACTGGAAATTTTGAACAGTTCGGAGAACCAGCAAATCCCACCTCTGACTGGAGATTTTACAGTATCCTTCCCCTGCCACGCCCAAGCCACGCCCACAGACAGGTAGTAAAAAAAAATGGAATCCCATCACTGCTAAGGATTCATAAAAGCCACTGTTATAAGTACTTCTTACTTCTTATTTGTGCCTTAAAAGCTTTATTTGTTATTTAGGGCCACTTAAATGCAGATTAAAGTATCCTTTAATTCACTTAATAAGTTTCATCCTGTCAGCAGTGGTTATAATAAATAGGATTTCCCCCTCACTCCGTCCATGTAATATAATGTATATGTAATATAATGTAATATTATGTAATATAATGAAGACAAACCTTTGGCTACTTGTTGGGTATTAATAAAGCATACAGTACAAGGAAATTATCCTGATTAGATAGCAAAGACAACTCCCCTTCCAATTCCAAACATTTAATTCAGCGTTTTCACACAGGCTCCTACTATTCACCAACTTACTGTTGCAAGCACATCTTATTTAGAAAGCTAAAAAGAAAAAAAAACCAAACCAAACACTCTCAGTGTAATCTCACTCTTCCTTTCAAAGAGAAGGATGTTAAATTTCACGGGTCCACTTACGAACTGATGGCAGGCAGAGAGCTGGGCAAAGATGCCCCTGACCACAAGTTTAAACTTCGGAGACCTCCGCCCACTACCTAGAGTACGTAAAGGAAGTCTTCCCTTCTCTGAAAAAACCAAAAACCACCCAGGCTCCCTCCAGCCCCGACACGCGAGGGGTCCCTGGCCTGTGTCCTCCACCTCCTTTCCGCGGCAAGAGCATCCCTGCCCGCTTTCTCCCTCCGGGGCCTTACCCAAATAGTGTCTCAGGTCCAGCAGAAAGTGAGGAGGGCCCCCGTTGAGCTGGTAGAAGAGGGAGCCCAGGCAGAAGAGCAGCAGGGCGGCCATGCAGAAGCCGTAGTCGCGAAGGGAAAGGAAAGGCAGCAGCGAGAAGGGCCTCCTCCTCCTCCTCCAGCCCATGCCGTGAGCGGGACCCCCGGAGGAAGCCGGGGCCACATGAGGCCGGGGCTCCGGACAGCCCGCCCCGTAGTGCTTCGGAGGCGGCGAGGCCGGCAGCTGCTGCTGCTTCTTCATCGTCGTCGTCCCCGGCGCTTCCCTCGCCGCCGCCGCCGCCGCCGCCTCCTTCTTAGACAGCTCGCCGGGCAGAGCGCATCCTCCATCCGCCTGCCCCGCTCCGCCTGCCCAGCACAATGGAGGGGAAAAGTTCGCCGGAGGTTCACGCGGTTTCTCTCCTACTCATTGCCGGGTTTCCCCAGGGTCGGGGCGAGCCTAGGACCCGGGGAAAAGAAAGCACCCACCCACCAGCACCCCCGCCGCCGTTGCCCTCTGAGCGGGCTTAGTTCGGTCTTGCCGCCGCCGCCGCGGCTTTCGGAGCTCCTTCTCGCCTTGCAGCGCCGCACTCCAGCCAGTTGCAGGCTCAGGTTACAAGTCCGGCGGACGGCGGGCCGGTGGCTGCAACTCACTGGAAGCCAAAAAAAAAAAAAAGTTGTTGGCCTCCCCCCCCCCCCCCCCCCCCCTCCCTCCCGCCGCCACCTTTCCCTCTCTCTCTCTCTCTGCCTAACTCTCTCCAGCTCCCCGGGGGCCTCCTTTTCCTCGCTACACCAGCGCCCCCGGAGGACGGCCGCGACGGAACGGATTCGAGGCTTCTCCGAACTCGGCTCGACTCCTTCCCTAGCGGCGAAAGACGTCACCGACCTCCTTTCCCATTGAGAAAAGGGCGGGGGAAGGGAAAGGCGAGGGAGGGTCCCCGTTTCCACAGACCGCCTTGTTCTGGACGAAAAAGGCGGATGGGCTTCGGGATGATATATATATTAAATGATTAGATAGCAAACTAGAGCTTCCTTGTTCTCAGGGGTATTTGGGAAGATAGCAATAAGACTTATTATACTGCTTCGCGATGCTTTACAGCCCTCTCTAAGCGGTTTACAGAGTCAGCATATCGCCCCCAACAATCTGGGTCCTCATTTTACCCGCCTCAGAAAGGTGGAAGGCTGAGTCTACCTCGAGCCTGGTGAGACTCGAACTGCTGGCAGCCGGCAATACAGTGTTTCTATTCATAACTAAAAGGAACCTCTCTACTTGGCCTAAGTCTAAAAGAGTGCAGTAAAGCAGGGAAAAATACTACAGCCCGCCAAATGCTATTTCTCTTCTTTTTTAAAGTCATGACTTTTTCACTTACGGGGCAGTTCCAACCCATTGCAAGTGAACCATTTTCATGTTTATTGTGTTAAAGACTACTAATTCAAATATGGAGGGGGTCTTGTCCAGAGAAAGAAACAATTTCCTAATTAAGGTTCAGCTAGACTCAACATTGTTTGCCTCCTTCTGCAGGAGTTCCCGGGACTTGCTCAGATTTTGCTTCTTAACTACCAGTTTAAAGTAATGCTCCCTTTTCCAATCCTCTGGTAATCTGGATTCAGAAAAAATAGAACTGCATACAAGCATTTTTATCTCTTGGGAGCTATAATGGTATGTAGAAATGACCTTGGAAGATAAAGAGGGAAAGCAAGCTGATCACGGTCTGATAAAACTTGAGTGGGAAAGAAGAGGGAGGAGGAGGAAAACATCTCAGAAGGGACTTTCCCTAGTTTTCTGAAGAATAGAAGGACAGTAGGAGGACTTTCAGATTTGCAAGATTCTGTTAATGTAACCTTGCAATAAATATAGAACTAGTACTCCTGCGTGCTTCTGGCTTGGAACTAATAGACTGACTAGTTGCTGTTAATGTAATCTTGTAATAATGATAGAACTAGTACTCCTGAATGCTTTTTGTCTGCAACTAATAAATACACTAATTAGCTGCTATTAATGGAACCTTGTAATAATGATTTAACTAGTACACTATTCTCTTATTTGCCTTGTGAGGCTAACAGGAGAATAGATGAAGCTCTCTTATCTTTTATCTTGTGCAAGGTTCAGGCTCAGATGCCTAGCCTGAAAATTCACACACAGGGACAGCTGGTTTTTGAAGCAACTGTAGCCCTTACCCTAAGCTTATAAAATTGCAGTCTATTTAGCAGTTCAAAGATAAATGATTTACTCTATATAAGATGTTTTACAGGTGGCATCTTCCCCGCAAGATTGGCAAAGATGTTTAAAGACAAATCAGTGAAATATTGGAAGTGTTATCAGATACCTGTAAATTCACATATGAACTCATTGGTCACATGCCATTTATTTATAACCACCTATTCTTTACGAGCTCTGGAAAGCTTTTGTTGTTGTTGTTAGTTGCGACGCGATCCCATGGACAACGTTCCTCCAGGCCTTCCTGCCCTTTACCATCCCCTGGAGTCCATTTAAGCTCACGCCTACTGCTTCAGTGATTCCATCCAGCCACCTCATTCTCTGTTTAAAGTCTTCTTCGTCCTCAATCTTTCTCAGCATTAGGCTCTTCTCCAGTGAATCCTTCCTTCTCGTTAGGTGGCCAAAGTATTTGAGTTTCATCTTCAGGATCTGGCCTTCTAAAGAGCAGTCAGGGTTGATCTCCTCTAGGACTGACCGGTTTGATCGCCTTGCAGTCCAAGGAGTCTTCCCCAGCACCATAGTTCAAAGGCTTCAATTCTTTGGCGATCAGCCTTTCATATGTTCCAACTTTCACAGCCATACATTGCAACTGGGAAAACCATACCCTTGACTATACACTTTAGTTGGCAGGATGCCATACCCTTGACTATACACACTTTAGTTGGCAGGATAATGTCTCTGGTTTTTAGTATGCCATCTAGATTTGCCATAGCTTTCCTCCCCAGGAGTAAGCATCTTTTAATTTCTTGGCTATAGTCCCCATCTACGGTGATCTTGGAGCCCAGGAAAATAAAATCTGTCACTACCTCCATTTCTTTCCCATCTATTTGCCAGGAATTGAGAGTGCCGGATGCCATGATCTTAATTTTCTTAACGTTGAATTTCAAGCCAACTTTTGCACTCTCCTTCTTCAACCACATCAAGAGGCTCTTTAGTTCCTCTTCACTTTCTGCCATTAGAGTGGTATCATCTGCATATCTGACGTTGTTGATATTTCTCCCAGCAATCTTAATTCCAACTTTTGATTCACTGGGCAGCTTACAAGATACAAAGAGCTAAAAAACACTTAACATCTATCAAAAGTTAAGAATAAATAAAGCAAAGAAGGAGTCTTGCTTGAATCCCAATAACAACTTATAATATAGGCTCTGCCGTCATATGAAATTGTTATTTCCCTATCCTTGTCTGATTATTGAAAGTTTGCCTTTGAAAGGATCAATGTACTATAAACCCTTTGCCATTCAAAGGATCAATGTACAAAAAACTGTACTGCAAAAAGGTAAAAGAATGTAGCCATGTTGGTGTAGAGGTTAAGGTACTGGTCTAGAAACTGGGAGATGGTGAGTTCTAGTCCTGCCTTAGGCATGAAAGCCTTTGGGCCACTTACTCTCATTCATCCCAGCCCACCTCACAAGACTGTTCTGGGGAAAATAAGAGAAGGAATGAGTGTTATATATGTTAACTGCCTTGAGTTATTTATAAAGTAATAAAGGCAGGATAAAAATCTAATAAATAAATAAAAATAAATTCCAGCTCTTTGGTTGCAACAAGATACAATTCATAAATATTTTCAATATCTATATACTACCGTGTTTCTCCAACAATACGACCTCCCCCAATAGGAAGACCCAGCATGTTTTCTAGGCATAAAATGAAATTAAGCCCCTCACCCCAAATTTAGGCCTATTTTAAAACATGCAAAATGGGGGGAAGGGCGGGGGGACTTGCCGTTAGGAGTGCCCCACGGGCAGCAATTCCTCACCACCAGCTGTTCCTAATGGGCGATCATGGCAGAGCACGGAGAGCTCCCTACTCCTGCCAAGCACCTTTGCAGCAGACCCAAGACCTTCAGCGCCCGCCGCTGTTGATTTCCCTTCTGCCCATGCCGCCGCCGCGTTTGGAGCTGCCACTTCCACGTTTGGAGCACCACTGCTGTTTGGAGCACCACCGCCATTTGGAGTGCCGCCTCCACTCCAAACACGGCGACAGCTCCAAACGCAGAAGTGACAGCTCCAAACATGACGGCGGTGCTCCAAATGGCAGCGGCACTCCAAACACGGAAGCGGCAGCTCCAAACGTGGTGGCGGAATGGGCAGAAGGGAAAGCAACAGCAGCGGGTGCCAAAGGTCTTGGGTCTGCAGCAAAGGTGTTTGGTGGGAGTAGGGAGCTCTCTGCACTTCACCATGATCACCCGTTAGGAGCGGCTGGTGGCGAGGCTGCCCGCGGGGCGCTCTAGATGAGGATGCAAGGGGGGGAATTAAATCATCCCTGAAAAGACAGCCTAGCCATTTTTTCGGGGCTCAAAAAAATATAAGACCCGGCCTTATTTTATGAGAAACACGGTACTAAAGCTTTCACTGTGTTTCTCAGTTTATACCCTCAAGTTAACCCAAATGGCATCTTATACCATAACTTTGGAATCAAGATACCTAAAATCTACTAACTTAATGAGTGCATAAAAAAAATATGGGACTCATTACTCCTGTGGAATTGAAATTTTTATGATGTTCATTTCAGTTTAATTTGCAGATTTGTAGCCATTGCAGCATCCCTGCAGTTGCATGATCATGATTTCCAATACTCCCTACCTGATTCCTACAAGCAATGTGGAAGCCTGGGGTGGGATCTGACAGGGTTAACTACCAGTTTGGTGATTTATGAGGTTCGGTGATTTATGCTGCGTGTACTCATCTGTAAATCGTCATCAGCACACTGCGTGCAGAGAAGCAGCCTTTCAAAAAGCACTTTTTTCCTGCTTTTTAAACTGCAGCTGTGCCTCGCACGGCAGCTGAAGTTGAAAAAGCAGGAAATAAAGGTCAGATAAGAGCCCGGGTGGGTGGGCAGGCAAAAACAGCAGCAGACATAAAACCGGTTCTATGTCTGCTGCTCTTCAGAGCTACCAGTTCTACAGAGGTGGACAGAACTGGTAGAAATCCACCCCTGGGGAAGCCAGCAGGAAGTTGGAAACCAGTCTGCTCTCATGCTTTTTTGATCACCCATGGTCATGACCCATGGTCATTCAGCAAAATATTTGCCACTATCATTATTTTTCTATTGATCATATATAGTCATACTTCAGCAGTTGATAGCTTCCAAAATTGTCAAATTTGGTATTCAACGCACAAGGAAGAACTTGCTGGCGTAGGCTGCCTCATGACTTGATATTTCTTCTGAATGAAATAGCGCATCACGTGTAAGTCACATGTTTTTTTCAGTACTTGTCGGTTTTAGTATTTGTTGCATCTTCAACAAATTACTGACAA